TAACCACATTTCAAGTGCTGAATAGCTACATGTGGATACTGCATTGGACAGTGCAAATAGAGAATATTTCCATCATCGCAGAAAGTTCTATTGGACAGCGCTGGTCTGTACAACCAATAATTCCAGTGTTTTGGTATCCTACAGATGTTTGTTCCTCCTAGAAGGTCCTAAAGCTTTCTTGACCTTTCAAGTGAATCCATTTGAGGTCCCGAAACATTGGAACCTGTTGGGATTAGAGGCCAGTTGACAAAGGATGCCTCTGAGGAAGTGTCCCCTGTAAAACTCACCATTACCAAGTTCAAATGTCTACTATCCCTAAACAGTGGGACCCGGGCTGTTCTTCCTGTGTGTGATCTCTATGACTTCATTCCATTTGTGAAGAAGGGAACTTGGTGTCTGTTTCGGAGGCAGCCACAGTTTCATCCAGGCCATCAGTCCTGGCAGCTGACTGTGAGAGCTGGCTGTGGAGTCCAGTGTTGGCAGTGAGGGGGAAAGTGCATGGCTGAGAGAATCCCAGCTAGGAAAAGATGCTTCTAGATATGCGCATCCCTGGGGCTGAGGGTGAGAAATGCCTCTCAGAGCCTCCCCATCTTCTTTTCCATTCCTCTTGGAGAGGAGCCTTTATTGCAGAGGGAATGGAAAGGGTTTTTGCCTTTCCTCAGTCCAGAGAAAAGGGGCACTTTTGGGTAAGAGGTTTAACTGGAAGCACAGGGGCAGCAGTTACTGCATGCAAGCAGCAGGCCAGGCTGGCCTGCCACCTCAGCCCTACCTGTCATGTGCTTGGCAAGTCCAACCTGAGTCCTTTTTTCCACTGCCTTCTCCACCCCGTCAATTGCAGTTTGCAACCTCTCATTTTTCTGCTGCCTAGATGATTAAAAAGCATGACTTAGTGGAAAAATCTTGACCTCCTTGGGGCAACCTCTTAAGCAGCTGTTGGAGATAAGATTGTGCTGGCAAAATACTCAACACTTTGCAAGGCTTTCTGTCTGTTTGTAAGGAAATGAAACGCTGTTTGGTTCTGGGTGCATTTTTGTTTTGGAGGGAGCTGCAGTTTTCAGAGGCATAAATTGGTATAATCTGATAATAAGGTAAAATCTCTGATGGAAGGGTTAGGTGAATTATAGTGATTTTTAAAAATACAATTAACAGGCTTTGTAGCTTTTTTTTTTTTTTTTGGCTTCTGGTTTGAGCAATTCAGGGAGCAAAGTTCTCCGGCAACTAAGCAGTAGCAGAAGCTCAGTGCTGGCCTAGCCCTGCTTCTGTCCCCTTTGCTCTTTCTTGGCTTAGGTGATCATAATTAGAGCCTGATGGCCACCTCTCCCAGCTGGGGAGCTGTGGCCGCGTCTTAGGGGACGCCTAGCCTGGGCTTGACTTATGAGGTCAGGGAATAGAAGATTAGGGTCCAGGATCTGAGCTGGGCCAAGTGTCTATCCCTCTCGATATTTCACAGCTCTGTCTCGGGTCCTAGAGGATTAGAACAACTGTCCAGACTAGGAAGCCCATTTCTGGACCTGGCTGTCTAGACGATCATCCCGGAGCCTGACCTGGGGCCTCCAGCACCTGAATGGCAGATAAGGCTGAGTCCTGCTTGCTTTCTCTGGTCAGTTTTCCATCTGTGAAATGGGGGTGTTGGCACAGTGGCATCCTAGTTCGTTTTCCAAAAAGCACAAGTGCTGGAAACAGTAGATCCAGGTTCAAATTCTGAAGTCAGAGGGTCTTACTGCTCCTTGGAGGTTGGAGGCCTAAACGAGATGTCTGAAAGACCTTTGTACAGAGTAGCATCCTTTCCGTTCCTTAAGGTTCCCCTGGCTCCCTCTCAGAGCTCATGCTAGGCTGCACTTATGTCCTCACCCCCAGGGAGGGGCTCCAAGCTCCACATGAGGAGCAGTGAGGAAGGGCCAAGAGAGGCCACCTAACTCCTGCCCCTTGGGCACACACAGGTCTGTGTGCACAGGACGGTCAGAGGGCAACACGTCAGGGTTGGCGGGTCATGAAGAGTGCCCCAAGTGCTTCTTCCCCTCCCTTTGAAAGCCCGGAGTCAGGGTCAGCTTCCCACACCCCTTTGACTCACTCTAGTACGGCTCCTCCCGTTTTGTTTTTCTCTCGGCTGCCATTACGATACTTTTTATGGGCCTTGTTAAGTCTTTAATGACACCCGGTTGTGCAGATGGCTTAAGACTTAATCCCCAGCAAGAGGCCTTTATTGGATAAATGGTTAATAATCACTTGTCTGGAGGGATTGGGAAGGCTTTGTTAAGGTTTGTGATACCCAGAAATTCCACTCCGTCGTGATGTGATCAGAGCATGACTTTGCTGGGGCAAAGTTGGGGTTGGGAAGGCCTGAGTTCATAGGAGAGCTTTCTTCTACCTCCTGGGAACAGAAGATACCTGTCTGCTGCCATGTGCCTGACTGGACCCACGCCAGGAACAGGCAGCCCCCCAGTATCTCTGCAAATATAAATCTCTACCCGCTGCAGTTTTTGCTTTTCTTTCTTTTGCTATTAGCAAGGCCCCTGGGGCTTTGATTTCCTCATCTATCAAATGGAGAGGTTGGAAGAGATGGCCTTGAAGGCGGATGGCCCAAGTGCCATGTGGGCTTCTCTCCCAGCTCTCCAGCATGTTACCTAGTGCTATGATTGGCCAGGGACCAGCAGCCCACTGGATTAAGTGCTTAAGCTGGTGAAGAATTGGGTCAGCTGTAGTCACAGGGCGGTGTGTGCAAAGGGAATCCACAGACTTGACCCTTGATTTTATAGCCTGGTTGGGGCTTCTGCCAGCTCTGGGCAAGGCATACAGTAGGCATAGAAAAAGAAGCCTGTTGATGGGACTCTGGAAAGAGAAGTAGACTCAGGTGTAGAGTCATCAAGGTAGTCAGGTTGTTCATAGGTGATAAAGGAGCCTTGGATTTTGTTTCCAGCTTGCCTGACACTGGGGCCATGCCCTCAACACTGATTTGGCTTTGATTTTAGAGTTGCTTTGGGATCAGGACTACTTGAGGGACAGGATGGTATTGGGCCATGGGCATAGGAATCACACAGACCTGGGTTTGAATCTCATTCCACCCTCACTCATTTATAGGTTATATGGTCTTGGACGGAGCCCTAGTAGTGCAGTGGGTAAGAGCTACACCTGCTAACCAAAAGGTCAGCAGTTCAAATCCACCAGCTGCTCCTTGGAAACCCTGTGGGGCAGTTCTGCTCTGTCCTGAAGGGTCACTATGAGTCAGAATTGACTCAATGGCATTGGGTATGGTCTTGGACAACCTACTTCTCCAACCCTGTGATTCTTTAAGATGATGTTGGCAGTACCTATTTTTCAGCATGGCCGCCTTGGTTCAAAATTATATATGTAGAGCACCTGCTGCCCTGCTCACGCTAAGTGCCAATGATTATTCTGGGAGGAATTTAATACTTTGGTGCTTGTTGTATGCTTTGGACCATTGGAGTAAAATGCTTGCTGCAAATAAACCAAAAAACCAAACTCACTGCCATTATTGATTCTGTTGATTTCGATTCATAGTGACGCTATAGGTCAGAGTAGAACTGCCCCACAGGGTTTCCAAGGCTGTAAATCTTTACGGAAGCAGACTGCCACATCTTTCTCCCACAGAGCAGCTGGTGGGTTCAAACTGCCCACCTTTCGGTTAGCAGCCGAGTATTTTAACCACTGTGCCACCAGGGCTCCTCCTTGCTGCAAATAGAGATGACTGTGGATGACATGATTTGGAATTCTTTTATCTGAAAATAAAGCAAAAAGAGTAAAAACAGAGCTACATCACCTTTTAGACTCAGTGGCACTGCCCCTAGAACTTTCAGCTTCAGGATTAGAATCAAAGTCTGGCCCAGAATTTGCTTGTGGGACTTTAGACAGAAGGCTGCTGCCTCCTGCCCCACGGGATCCTGAGGGCTGAGCACAGCTCCTGGCACATGATGGGCGCTCAGTACTCCACATTTACGTGAAACTAAGGAATTTGTCTTTCCAAATGTGTGAGTCCCTGGGTGGTGCAAACAGTTAATGCACATGACTGCTAATGGAAAGCTTGGTGGTTTGAATCCACCCAGAGGCACCTTCAAAGAAAGGCCTGGTGAACTACTTCCAAAAAATCAGCCATTGAAAACCCTGTGGAGCAGAGTTCTCCTCTGACAAACATGGGGTTGCCATGAGTAGGAGTTGACTCCATGGCAACTGGATCTTTTTTCCCAATGTTGACTTGATTGGGGCTCCCTGTGCTTTTATTGCAGATCTTTCCAGACCCGTCAGACTTTGACCGCTGCTGCAAACTGAAGGACCGCCTGCCCTCCATAGTGGTGGAGCCCACGGAGGGGGAGGTGGAGAGCGGAGAGCTCCGGTGGCCCCCTGAGGAGTTTTTGGTCCAGGAGGATGAGCAAGAAAACTGTGAAGAAACAGCGAAAGAAAATAAGGAGCAGTAGAGTCACTGCAGACTGCAGACTCCCACAGGTGGCACTAGACAGCATCTGGACCTGAACTGTGTTTTTCTCACCGTGATGGAAGAAGAGCGTGAGCCACAGTGGTTCTGAAAATGTCAACTGATGGCTTCCGTTCTGCACCTGCAAATCACAGAGTTGTTTTTGTTTTGTTTTTTTAATTTTCTTTTCTTCTTTTGAAATTTGTCGAGCAGTGGAGCCCTCTGTGACACTTGCAAGGCCTTCTGAGAAAGGAAGCTGCTTCAAGAAGGGGGCGGGGTGTGGGGAAGTAGATTCTGTTTTGAAGATCACTATCTGAGCTCAAGCAGGCAAGAGCCAGTGGTGGGATTCCAGTGGGCCTGGGACAGGGTGGAGGTGTGCAAAGAGAGCAAGGAACACTGGAGGAAGAAAGCAAACACAAGAAGAAAGGGAAAAGTCATGTCTTAAGAACACATTGAGCAGAGAGCTGCAGCCAGGAAATACTCCAGGAGCATTTGCTCTGGCTGCTAGGGCACCAGAAAACAAAGTCTTCATCTCTCTCCAATCTCACCCCCCCAGCACCCTTTGCTTTGACTTCAAGTGTGTCTCTCTGTCTGTCTGTTATGGGAGGAGGAAAGGAGAGCAGGAGTAGCTGGCTACTTGCAGACCAGCTGGAGGTGATGGGAGAGGGTGGGGAGGAAAGGAGAACCCTGTTCCTACTTCATCCTATTCCTCTGCTCCCAGCTGTGGTCAAAACCACCTCCCTGAGGTAGCCTAAAGGCTGAGAGGCAGCGCTCTGGAGCTTCTCACCCCTGAGTTACCCCTTGTTGCTTTCCAGCCCTCTTGGGAGTGGCCAGAGCAGATCCTGCCCTCAATGGAGGCCCCCACGTGGACACTTTGGTACAAAAGTCCCTCCTTCAACTGCTCCCCCCAAGACTGTTGCTTTCAGAGTCTGACTGGAGGCATCCAGTGGGCAGGGAGTTCTCCCAGGCTTGCCCTTCCCTCTCCTCACCAGCCCCCTCCCCAGCCCTTCTTCTCATTCCAGCAGCCTGACCACTCTGAGTGGGCTCTCAGCCTGTTCTTCTTGTGGGAGCTGGAGTAGGGGGCAGGGAAACATCTTTCTTTCTCTTTTGGTGGGGGAGTTTAATGCTGGTCCCTGGAGCTGGCAGAGCCTCACAGGTATGGAAAGGGTGACGAGGTCTTCCAGCAGCCGTGGGATCAAATTTGAGATGAACAGTTGTCACGAGATACATGACTTCTCCCCCAAGTTGTTCCTGGATGCAGATGGGAGGGAGGTGTGGTGAGGGCCACTCTAGTGACCCGCACTGAACTGTGGTTCTCATCCCTCCCCACCTCCCACCTGTCTCTGACAAGGGCGCCACAGTTAGGAACCACCGTCTGGAGCAGCACGTTGCAGAACAGACCCCTCAGACCATCTGGATCTCAGAGCAGGACTGTGTAGCCAAGAGCAGAACTGCAGAAGCAGGCAAGGCCGTCACCATGCCCCATCAGGCTTCAGTCAGGCCAGGCTGAACCTCATTTGGGACTTACATGTATAGTTGCATTTAAGACCTCCAGGCTAATGTGGCTCTGGAGAACGTTGTGGCAGGGAGGACCAGGGTGTGCTTTGGCCCGTCACAGGATTTGGTTCTGGAGAGCCGATCTCCACTCCCTCTCAGCTGCCTGCCTCCTCCTTCTCTCTTGTCTGCTTGTGCTACACATACCGATGGCAATAAATTCTTTCAGCTCCTTGCTGAAGTGGGAGAGGCCTGCAGCTGCCTGTGAAAGCAGGCCTCCCTCTGGCACTCCTTCTCATTCTCTTTTGGTGTCCAAGAGCCTTTCATCCTTACTCTTCCTTCCCTCCTAGCATTCCACATCCCTTACCTCCCTTTTTAATGGGGTCTTGCCTTTTCAAATCCTATGTTTTTGTGTCTCCCTCTCATCTGCTGCCCTATCTCATGTGTCCCAGTCTTGCCATGTGATGGGAACGTGCTTGTAAACTGTAACAAACCTACTTTGTGTATATGTGTGTTTGTGGGGGTGGTTTATGGTTTTTTGCTGGTTCCTAGACCACTTTGTACAACCATTTAGAGTCTGAGCAGGCCAGGGGCTGACAGCTAAAGCCAGGCCCCTCCACAGGTTAGCCTACTGGGGGGCACCCAGATGCTCTTGGACAAATGGCTGAGCTCCTGTCTGGCCTCCTCTTTTTTTTTAAGTAATACGTGTGTATTTCTACCTGATTGTATTGAAAAAATCCTAGTATTTCAGTAAAAACACCTGTTGTAAGATGAACCTCCATCTGTAACTTCTATCTGTTCTTTTTTGAGGCTCAGGGAGAAACTAGCATTTTTTTTTTCCAAACTACTTTTTGTCACTGTGACAGTTGTAAATAAAGTTTGAAAATGCTTTCCACTCTGGCCTGGTATCCTTTCTTTCCTCGTGACCAGACTGAGTGAGAACAGGAGGAAGGATTAACTTGCAGAAGGCTGAGTTGGTGTTGAGTCCCAAAAGAGATTCCTTATATATCTCACCTGCTAACCCTTTGAGGTGAGCTTCTCCATAGTTTTTAATCACCTGGCTGAATAAAAGTAGCCTTTTCTTCTACACCATTGATTTCGGCCCTGGATGCACATCAGAATCACCTGGAAAGCTTTAAAGACATACAGGTACATGAGCCCTGCCACTACCAGTTGCCGTCAAGTCAATTCTGACCCATGGTGACCCCATGTGTGTCAGAGTAAACCTCTGCTTCATGGGGTTTTCAATGGCTGGTTTTTCAGCAGTAGATCACCAGGTCTTTCTTCTGAGGTACCTCTAGGTGGACTTGAATCTCCAGCCTTTCAGTTAGCAGCCAAGCACCTTAACCATTTGTACCATCCAGAGCCCTACCCCCAGAGATGGGGATTTAAGTCTGAGTTGGGGTTCAGGCATTGTTATTTTTTAAAATTTCCCCAGAGGATACCTCCCTTGCCATGAGACCAGAAGAAATGGATGGTGCCTGGCTACCGTTACTGAACAGTTTCATCAGGGACCCAATAGATGGATCTTGATCAAAAGGATAAATATTGTGGAACAGAACTTAATTCTTACTGAAAACCAGACTTAATGGTTACATTGAGACTGGAGGGACCCCCAAAGCTATTGTCATGAAACAACTTTTGAACCTTGAACCAAAGCTGTCTCATGAAGTCATCTTCAAACTAAACAATCTACCTCAATAAAGAATGTCTGCCTTGAGTACTGTGTCCTTTTAAAGAATTACCCATATGAGAGTGCAATGACAACAGCAACCCTAAAGCACAGGAGAGAATTTTAAGGGGCAGAGAGTCTAAGTTAATGGTGGTGAGACAATACTGGCAGAGAGAGAATGGTAACACAATGCGAAGTACGTAAGCATTGTCAGTGAACTGTACATGTAAACATTGTTGAACGGGTGTATGTTTAGTTGTGCATATTGTCACCAAAAAAAAAAAAAATCTCCAGGTGATTCTAATGTGCAGCCAAGCTGCCAAGGTGTCCAACCACCTTTCTAAGGGAGGGTAAACACCCAAGATACATTGTAACATAGTTCACAAAGCCACTAACTCTATTTTTATGAAAAGGCTGGAGGTAAAGGGTCGGGAATGCAGCTAAAAAGCTCAAGCAGTCATTCAGATCACGTACTGAGTGCCTACTACTTGTCTGACGTTGGTGAAAGGTTAAGGTAAACAAAATAACAATGGGGCCTGCCCTCACGGTCCTGCTTAGTGTAAAATTAAGTGACAAATATGGTGAATGCAATGAAGAACACAAAAAACCAGGGTGCTATGAGAGGAAATATCATCGGGGAGGGGTTCAGGAAGGGCTCGGAAGAAGTGACAAGGAGGAGTTGGGCAGATAATGAGTGGTGGGGGAGGAGTGTGGTACGTGAAAGGCGCTCCAGGCAGAGAGGACAGCTGGCAATGAGCCTGGCTGGTGAGGGAGGGCAAGCAGTGCGAGGAGGGCCCTCAGGCTGGGCGAAGAGCTGGGATTCTGTTCTAATTGCAGTGCCTAGCAGGCCATGATTCACATTTTCAAGCAATCATGGGCTCTGCGGAGCTGGGATTGTATGAGGTGAGACAGGATGCCAGGAGACAAGGAAGGAGTCTTTGTGGTGGTTGTGGCAAGAGGAGGTGGTGGTTTCTGGTAGGGATTTTTGGACACTTTTCTAACCCAAGGCTGGATGTTTTTGTCTTCACCCATCCTACATCTGGGCTGCTAACCATGGTGCCTGTAGATAATCAAGGAATCTGTTCTGAGGCTGTCACCCACTATCACTAGACTATCAATTCATTTAAACATTCCCACCACCACCACCAGTGCTGTAGAGTTGACTCTGACTCATGGTGACCCCATATGTGTCAAAATAGAACTGTGCTCCACAGGGTTTTCAGTGGCTGATTTTCTGGAAGTAGATCCCCAGGCTTTTCTTCCAAGGTGCCTCTGGGTGGACTCGAACCTCCAACCTTTCAATTAGCAGCCGAGTGTGTTAAGTGTTTGCACCACCCAGGGTTTGCCTGAGTGAAACCATTAGACCAAATGGATCTGCTGCCCAGGGAAGCCGGGATCCAGTCTGAGCATAGCTTGGCAAGAATCGACAATCTCCATTTTGGACTGTCCCTCTGTTTCACTCCAACAGTGTGAGAATGAATTTTATTAGAGGGCAGCCTTCTTGAAAATAGTCCTTCAGAAAACTGTCTTTATTTGAAGATGACATTGTTCAAGTCAAAAAGTCTATGAAATCTACAAAAAGATACTAGAACTAATATGTGAGTCGCAAGGTTGCAAGATACAAGATCAATATACAAAAATCAGTTGTATTTCTGTATACTAGTAGTGAACAATTGGAAACTGAAATTTAAAATGCCACTTCCAATAGCATCAAAAAAATATACACCACTTAGGAATAAATCTGACAAAAGATGCACAAAATATGTTCAATGAACACTACAAAACGCTGCTGAGAGAAATTAAAGAAGACCTAAGTAAATCGAGAGAGATACTGTGTTCATGGTTCTGAAGACTGGATGTTGTTAAGATATCAGTTCTCTCCAGATTGATCCATAGATTTAGCACAATCCCAATAAAAATCCCAGCAAGCTTTCTTTGTAAAAATTGACAATCTGATTCTAAAATTCATATAGAAATGTAAATGACCTAAAATAGCCAAAATAACTTTGAAAAAGAACAACTTGGAGGACCCACACTTCCCCATTTCAAAACTTATTATGCAGCTATGGTGATCAAAACAGAGTGATATTAGTATCCCAACAGCCATATAAATCAGTGGAACAGAATAGAGTATCCAGAAATAGACCTGCACATGTCAATTGATTTCTCACAAAGCTACCAAAGCAACTCAGGGGAGAAAGGATAGTCTTTTCAACAAATGGTGCTGGAACAATTGGATATTCCCATGTCCCAGCCCCTAGGGACAGAAACCTGAGTTTTCACTTCTGCCTGCCATTGTCTCCAGATGGCCTTCTAGACAGAATAATTTTTTGTTTGGAAAAATTAAATACCTTCAATTAACTCCATCCTTTTTCACCATTGGCTAATAGCTTCCATACTACCCTGCCCCACCCCAGTTCACCTTCTTTCTTCCCAAAGGAGGAGCTTTGGATGGCAACTCATGACCTTTGCTGTGTTAGTCAGGCTGACTTGCACTCATGTCCTGGCTTGGCCTTTCCTTCAAGGATCCTCAGTGTTCTTGTCTATGAGATGGAGATAAGTCTAGAACCTCAATCACAGGGTTTTGAGGATTGAGCACTCAGCAGGTGCTCCACAAGTTAGCATTTTTTTCTATCTTCATCTTGAAGATTTGGCAGCTAAGGAGCTAGCCCCTGCCTTCCCTTCCCTGCTTTTTGGCATGGGTCCTTTGTGCACACCAAAGTCAAAGGCAGGTTCAAGGTGAAGACACCAGCCTACCCCCAAATGCAACTCCCTTAGTCTGCCTTTTCTTGTTCATCACCCTGAGAGAGAAACAACACAGAGAATAAGAGAACTCTAATGCCTTCAGGTCCACCAAGAGATTAAAGAGACGCTAAGTCTGTCACCACGGTGGGAGTAACATTCTGCCAGGCTTCTTTTTGAAGAGGTGATAGTTGGGCAGAAACCTATTTGAAGTGATGGTCAAGCTTTGTGTAGACTGGGGAGAGATTCCAGGTGGAGGGGACAGCAAATGTAAAGGCCCTGCAGTATAAATTGGCTTGACCCTTTTAAGGAATGTTTGTGAAGCCAGCATGGCTGTAGTAGAAAAGAGAAAGAAGTAGCTGAGGCCAAATGTTATGGAATGGTACCTTGTGGGCCTAGTAAGGATGGGTTTTAGAGTCACTATTGCCAAGGGTTGTATTTTTTCACCTTATTTATTCAAAACTGTATGCTGAACAAATAATTTGAGAAGCTGGGCTATATGAAGAACACAGCATCAGGATTGGAGGAAGACTTATTAGCAACCTGAGATGTGCAGATGACACAAACTTGCTTGTACGGCATTGGGCAAATCCACAAAAGACTTTTTAAAATGTTAAAAAGCAAAGATGTCACTTTGGTGACTAAGGTACAACTGACCCAAGCCATTGGTATTTTCAATTGCCTCATATGCATATGAAAGCTGGACAATGAAAAAGGAAGTCCAAAAAAGAATTGATGCATTCAGATTGTGGTGTGAAGAATATTGAATATACCATGGACTGCCAGAAGAATGAACAAATCTGTCTTGAAGGCAGTGCAATCAGAATGCTCCTTAGAAGGGAGGATGGTGAGACTTCATCTCACTTACTTTGGACATGTTATCAGGAGGGACCAATCACTGGAGAAAAACATCATGCTTGGTAGAGGGTAAGCAAAAAAGAAGAAGACTCTTCATGAGATGGATTGACACAATGGCTACAAAAATGGGCTCAAACATAGCAACGATTGTGAGCATGGCACAGGACTGAGCAGTGTTCCATTCTATTGTACATAGAGTCGTTATGAATTGGAGCCTACTTGACAGCACCTAACAACAAACATTGCCCTTTCGAGAAGCTCTTGAGAAAGGAAGCAAGCTTACCAGGCATCCAAGGCTCTAGAGATCTACTGGTCAGCACTTCCAAAGTTGTCTGGCCAGTGGCAACTGGAAATCAGTGCTGATGGACCTGAGGGACTGTCACATCCCAAAGGGGCTCTGGATCATCAAAGGAGAAGTAACTCAGGATTAGGTAGAATTCTGTTTATACACCTGTCTTCAAATTACTCTAGGATGGTGGGGCTCTGAGATCATTCTCCTGGATCTGTAGCTCAACCCTGCCCCTTAGTAGTTGTGTGACCTTGGGCAAGTTACTTTTCTTCTCTGTGCCTCACTTTCCTTATCTATAAAATGGGTATAAAAATAATACTTACCTTGTAGGGTTGTGGTGAGGTTTAGATGCATTATTATAAGCAACATGCTTAGAACTATACTAGGCACATATTAAGCGCTTAGGAGATACCAGCCATTGTGATAGGCTGAATAATGCCCCCCCAAAGATCTTCACATTCTAATCCGAGGAACTTGTGAATGTATTATATTACATGGCACGGGGGAATTAGGGTTGCAGTTGGAATTAAGATTGCCAATCAACTGACCTTGAGATGGAGAGATTATCCTGGATTATTCAGGTGGCCCCAGTCTAAATACA